CTCTGGGGTTCAAGTCCAGCTTCAGGACTCAAAGGGGAGTAGAAAGCTCGGCAGAGATAGCAGGAACTGCAGAGGCCTGCTGTGTTCATCCAGCTCTACACCTTGTTATCTTAGAAAGCTCGGCAGCTTTGTTACCAGGCTGTAAATCTGTCTGATACCTCGCCTGTGAGTGAGGGTCCCTCAAGTTGTGAGCCTCAATCTAGAGGAGCACTCTGCCTGTGTAGCGTATCCACAAGACAGAGGATGGCTCAAAGTCAAGTGTTCACGTTGGGAGGTTGGGGAGTCAAGGCACATGAAGTTTCCAAAAAGGTCAGTCAAAGCCCACCTCATTGTCATTTCTTTTTATTCACTCATGGAATGGGGGCCAGCATTCATTGCCCATCCCTAATTGCCCAGAGAGCAGTTAAGAGTCAACCACATTGCTGTGGGTCACATGTAGACCAGACCAGGTAAGGATGGCAGCTTCCTTCCTTAAAAGGCATTAGTGAACCAGATGGGTTTTTCCTGACAATTGACAATGGATTCATGGTCATCATTGGACTCTTAAACCCACATCCTTCATTGAATTCAAATTCTATCAATCTGCTGCGGGGAGATTTGAACCCGGCTCCCCAGAATACTAGCTGAGTTTCTAGATTAACAGTCCAGCAATAATACCGCTAGACCGTTGTGAATGGAGGGCCAGGTCCTGACATGGGTGAAATGGGGTTATCGGTGAAAAATCTCTGTCCACTTCGATTCGCATGCCGACTCAGTGAACCACAAAGGCGACAATATCAAGACACAATACCAGGGAGTCTCGTCTGTGGTGAGTCGTTCAGGAAGAATGAGATTTGGAAGGTGTTTCCTGATTGCCCCAAAGGCAGGATTGGGATTGCGTTTCTCAACTCTGTGGTAGTACATATATGTTTTGCCCCTTTTGTTTATATATTGTGTGACTTGATTTTGTGGCAATTATCTTTAACATGTCTTTCCAACAAAAACACTCTCTGGTGGAAGTAGAGGATCCCCGGATGGGAGGAGGGGAAGGGGGTTCGCTATTTTACAGAAAAGAAGCAGAAAGCTACGACATCCCCTAGGGGCAATATTGAGCCCCAGACACCCACGCCAGTCCCACCTACCTCCCTGTCCAACCAAGCCACAGTCGCGAAACAAAAAGCTGTTTGCATTGCTGCTTGAGGGATCTTGGTGTGCACAAGTTGGCCTCGCACATTATAACAGCGACCAACCTTCTTCAACTGCTTCATTGTGCCATATGTGCTGAGGTTGTCTAAGGCGTTACATGAGCCCACACATCCTTCTCTTCCCTTCCCCAGGCACAAGTCAGGAGTGTGATGGAATACTCCCCACTTGCCTGGATGGGTGCAGCCCCAACAACATTCAATAAGTTTGACACCACCCAGGACAAAGCAGCCCCCACTTGACTGGCACCAAATCAACCACCTCCGACATCCACTTCCTCCAAGGGTGGCACAACAGTGTGCACCATCTCCAAGATACACCGCAGTAACCCTGCAAAGCTCCCTTGCCAGCACCTTCCAAACGCACTATCTGTGCCAGCTGGAAAAAGCAAGGGCGACTGATCTGTGGGAACACTCACCACCGCTTTGAGTCCCTCACCAATCTGACTTGAAACTATATCACTGTCATAGAGTCATAGAGGTGTACAGCATGGAAACAGACCCTTCGGTCCAACTCAGCCATGCCGACCAGATATCCTAAATTAATCTAGTCCCATTTGCCAGCGTTTGGCCCATATCCCTCTAAACCCTTCCTATTCATGTACCCATCCAGATGCATTTTAAATATTGTAATTGTACCAGCCTCCACCACTTCCTCTGGCAGCTCATTCCACACAGACACCACCCTCTGAGTGAAAATGTTTCCCCTTAGGTCCCTTTTGAATCTTTCCCCTCTCACCTTAAACCTGTGCCCTCTAGTTTTGGACTCCCGCACCATGGGCAAAAAGACTTTGGCTATTCACCCTATCCATGTCCCTCATGATTTTATAAACTTGTATAAGGTCACCGCCCAGCCTCCGATGCTGGAGGGAAAGTAGCCCCAGGCCATTCAGCGTCTCCCTATAGTTCAAAATTCTGCTCCATTCTCAACACCCACACAGTCTCTACACCCAGAGCGCTGCCCTGGTTCAAGACAGTGGCTCACCATTACCCTCTCTAAGGCAATGAGGGAGGGACAATAAATGCTGGGCTAGCCAAAAGATGCCCAAATCCCACAAATGAACTTTTAAAATTCTCCATTTCTGACTGTGTGTTAATTTTCTGTCTGTCCCATTTCTGCACACCAGTTTCACACGCACAATCGGTGATCTCAGTGTAATATATTAGAGTGTAGAAGAGTACTTTGTTTTCTTTAGGATACGGGCATAACCGGCAAGTGCAGAATCTGTAGCTCATTCCTGACTGCCTTGAGTTGAGTGGTTTGTTGGGCTATTTCAGAGGGCAGTTCAGAGTCAGCCACATTGCTGAGGGTCTGGAGTCACATGTGGGCCTGACCAGGTGAGGATGGCAGATATCCTTCCCTAAAGGACATTAGTGAACCAGATGGGATTAGACAAGAATCAACGATCATTGCATGGCAACCATTACACAACGCTGATGTTCAATTCCAAAATTAAGGATTGGACTCAAACTCCATCTCCCTTAGTAACGTGTACATCAGGTGGGTTTTTATGATGACCAATATTTTCATGATAAAGTTAAATTCACCACAGCATGGGGCTGTTCTCTCATTGGATAGAAGATGGTGGTGAGCGTTACCAAGCCTTGGGCAAGGGGAGAGGTTGGGAAGGAGAATCTTTCACGGTAACCTCAGCCAGTGTGAGAATTGAACCCAGAAAGAGTAGGAACTGCAGATGCTGGAGAATCTGAGATAACAAGGAGTAGAGCTGGATGAACACAGCAGGTCAAGCAGCATCAGAGAAGCATGAAAGCTGACGTTTTGGGCCGAAGGGTCTAGGCCCGAAACGTCAGCTTTCCTGCTCCTCTGATGCTGCTTGGCCTGCTGTGTTAATCCAGCTCAACATCTTGTTATCCGAGAATTGAACCCGTGCTGTTAGCTTCACTCTGCATTGCAAACCAGCCATCCTGCCAACTGAGCTGACCAGACCCCCTTTTTGTGGTCCACAATTCCTGGGACTAGCTTTCCATTTCAGATGTCCTTCGATGTAAATTTCAACCTGGCAGGTTTCAAACCCTTGTCCCCACCGCATTCACCTGGCCCCTTTGGCCCAGCAGTGACACCAGCACATTCATGAGAGCTGTGGGCAGACAAGGTCGTAATCCACAGGGAGGCGCTATTGGCCAGTTCGCACTCCAAACCCCAGCCCAGGGGTATGTGGGTTGGGCATAGGTGGAGAGAGTGCCTCAGCCACCCGGGCAGACTCAGTGAGGAAAGGGTTAAACAAGGGAGGACAGCTTGCATGGGCTAGGGCTCAATTCCAGACAACAAGGTGCAGAGCTGGATGAACACAGCAGGCCAAGCAGCATCATAGGAGCAGAGAGGCTGACGTTTCGGGCCTAGACCCTTCATCAGAAAATTCCCTTGAGTTCAGGAAGTAGAGTGATGATCTAATCGAGCTATTTATAGTGGATTGCACAATCTGAACAGGGCAGTAGGTGAGAGACTGTTTCCTGCTGTGCAGGAATTCAGAACAATCCTCAGTGTTAAGGTCTGCAGTGTCTGGTACTGTAATCAGTGAAGATCTCATAGAGCTGTACAGAACAAAAACAGACCCTTTGGCCCAACTCATCCATGCCGACCAGATATCCTAAATTAATCTAATTCCATTTGCCAGCATTTGGCCCATATTCCTTTAAACCCTGAGATAACAAGGTGTAGAGCTGGATGAACACAGCAGGCCAAGCAGCATCATAGGAGCAGAAAGGCTGACGTTTCGGGCCTAGACCCTTCATCAGAAATGGGGGAGGGGAAGGGGGTTCCGAAATAAATAGGGAGAGAGGGGGAGGCAGATAGAAGATGGTTAGAGGAGAAGATAGGTGGAGAGGAAACAGACAGGTCAAAGAGGGGATGGAGCCAGTAAAGGTGAGTGTAGGTGGGGAGGTAGGGAGGAGATAAACCCTTTCTATTCATATACCCATATCCCTTTTAAATGTTATACCAACCCCCACCACTTCCTCCAGCAGCTCATTCCATGCACATACCACCCTCTGCATGAAAAAGTTGCCCCTTAGACCCTTTTAAATCTCTCCCCGTCACCTTAAACTTTTGCGCTCTAGTTTTGGACTCCCCTACCCTGAGGAAAAGACCTTGACCCTATCCATGCCCCTCACGATTTTATAAACCTCTATAAGCTCTTTTGCCTATAAATTCTTTCTCACTGACACCTGAAGAAGGAGCGAGACTGCAAAAGCTTGTGTCTTCAAATAAGCCTGTTGGACTATAACCTGGTGTCGTGTGATTTTTGACCTTGTCCAACCCAGCCCAACACCAGCACCTCCACGTCAGGACACCCCTCTGCCTCCAATGCTCCAGGGAAAATAGCCCCAGTCTATTCAGCCTCTCCCTATAGCTCAAACCCTCCAACCCTGGCATCATCCTCTTCTGTACCCTTTCCAGTTTTCACAACATCCTTCCCATAACAGGGAGACCAGAATTGCATGCAGTATTCCAAAAGTGGCCTAACCTACATCCTGTACAGCCACAACATGACCTCCCGACTCCTATGCTCAATGCACTGATCAATAAAGGCAATTGTACCAAACACCTTCTTCACTGCCCTGTCTACCTGGGACTCCAATTTCAGGCAACTATAAACCTGCACCCCAAGGTCTCTTTGTTCAGCAACACTCCCCAGGACCTTACCATTCTTCACCCAGACAACAGTAAGGCAGAAATGGAATTCTTCACCATGTCTCCCCACGCAGCTTCCCTAGTGAACCACCCAGGAAGGGTCTCAGTGCTGGGGGTAGACAGCTAGTTTTCATTTACATTGACTTGTATTTGTTCCTTGTCTTTAGGACATCTCAAGTCTCCTCGTTATGAAGGGCTCTTGTGGTACAGTGTTTGTGTCCCTAGCTCTGATCAAGGAGGCCTGGGTTCAAGTCCCACCTGCTCCAGAGGTGGGTAATAACGTCTTAGAAAAGGTTAGTTATGGGGGAGAAAGAAAACATGACAGTGGAAACCAATTATCCCCACCCACCAACATGAGGAGAGAGTTGACCCAAAGTTCAGCCATAAAGGTTGGTTTTCTACAGCGCATGAGGGGAGGGAAGGGGAGGTTTCTGGAGAGAATTCCAGAGCTTCAGGAACAGCCAATAGGTGGCGCTCACAAGACAGAGTTGAAGATGTGCGGATATCTCGGAGGGTTGTGGGACTGGAGGGGATTGCAGAGATTGGGAAGGAGATACAAAGAGAGAGGCCAAGGCAGGAACAACTTTAAAATTGAGATGTTTATCAGGCATGGAACCAGTGTATTGTTGAGGGGAATAGGACACAGTACAATTTAGGATTATCATTTCAGATGATCCACATTTACAGAGAGTGGAATTATAGAATCTCTACAGTGTGGAAGCAGACAATTCAGCCTATCATGTTTACACTAACCCTCTAAACTGCATCCCACCCAGACCCATCTCATCCCTGTAACTCTCTATTTCTCATGACTAATCAACCTGACCTTCACCTCCCTGGACAATTTAGCATGGCCAATCCACCCTAACCTGCACATCTTCAGACTGTGGGAGGAAACCCACACAGACACAGAGAGAATGAACAAATTCCACACAGACAGTTGCCTGAGAGTGGAATTGAACCCAGGTACCTGGTGTTGTGAAGCAGCAGTGCTAACCACTGAGCCACCATGCAGCAGCCTGGTTGGGACTACACAATAGTCGAGGCTAGCGGTGACTAAATCAAGAAATGACGGTTTCAGTAGCCAACGAACTGAAGCAGAGGGAAGCTTGGGTGATGTTGCAGTTCAGATTATCAAGGTTGGGAGTGGTGTGGCAGGGAGTTAAGGGAGATCTGTGGATTTAGAGCAGCCAAAATGAAATAAAATAGCTGGGGTGGGACTGAATGGCCTCCTCCTGGTCAAATAGCTCCATGTGTCAGCCAGGCCTAAACGGGTAGCAGTCTTGTCTCTGAGCTAGTAAATCAGGTGACCAAACCCCTCTCAGGAGACCTAGGTAAAGAGTTGATGTTGACAATGTAAGGCCCATCTTTCAGATAAGATGTTAAATTTTTTGGGGGAGGGGGGCGGTGTGGGTGTCCATCTACCCTCCCTCATACTAGGGGTAATATTTTGAAAACGAATAGGGCAGTTGTCTGCTCCCCCCACACCGCCATTCCAGACAGTTTCCTGACCGAATAACCTTCCTGCAGACAGTATCATTATAACCCGGACGGTCTGCTCTCTAACCTGCGGAGCGTTTTTATTGTTTTCTGGTTCTGTTTATCCTGGTCATTAGGCCCTACTGTCAGTGGTATCTTGCCATGAGCAAATCAGCTGCTCTGTCTGCTGTAAACAGAACCCAGGAAGCGATAAAAATGTTCCGCAGGTTTGAGGGTTGTTTCTGCGGGGTGTCTCGGAG